CGGCGTCGGCATAACCGCGTGTTACATTGAGACGTGTGACGTCACTCGTGACGTCACGAGGGTCACTCCCGTGAGAGTAACCCTCGTGCGGCTTACCCTCAACCCCTCAGAGTTACCCTCACGAGGGTTACTCTCACGGGGGATACCCTCACGAGAGAAACTTTCACGGGGGTCACCCTCGTAAGGCTAACCCTCGTGAGGGTAAACCTCGTGAGGGCTACCCCCGTGAAGGTAACCCTCATGAGGGTTACCTTCGTGAGGGTGTCCCCCATGAGGGTCACGAGAATAACGTCAACACGTTACCCTCGTGACGCCACGTTCCATAAACGATAACCTTTCTAAAAGAATACTGAAATGTAGACAGGCTACCGATTTCGCAATAGGAAAATCAGTTTAAAATGAAGGCCATCCTAATTTTTCTTCTAATTTTCACATATCAAGGCTCATAATCTCTCCTATCAGGCCTTTCAAAAATAATTAAAACATTGTGTTTTTTTGTGTGTTTTTTTTAGCGTTTAATTTACAGAATTGCCGTAACTGGAGTAGAGAAAGATAAGACGTTGCCGATTTCAAGCAAAGGCAAGGAAGGAGTCGACAGATGTAGGAAGTCTGTGAAGAGAAAGCACTGTGATAGGAGTTCGTGAAAAATGAGAATTTATACAAAAGATTACAGGTGAGTTTGAAGCACAAGTCACAATTTAAATACAGATTTCTCGAATTAGTGAATTTCGGAGCCTATCCTTCGTTGGGAGGCTGGGTTGCTGACGACCAGGTCTAAATAGTAATAAGAAAGAACACATGATTAAAGTGGTACAACTCAAACGAGTTCAATAAGTCAAGATCCTGTACGCACATTCGGCGCTTTTCGCGTGCATTCTTTCTGCCGGATGCTGGCCTGAGTCGGTCACGGCGCTCTGCTGGCACTCCGAGGAGAAATTTTTTTTTCCCCCGTTTTGCCTGTAGCGATCACTGTTCGTTTCTTCTCAGTGGCACCGCAAGCTCGCGACCGCTATCTGCTTTTCGCTGCCATTGGAGACTTTACTTTCAAAGATATATCTTTTCTGCGTCTACTGTCTTGCTAATACAGATGTGGTTGCGAAATGTGGGACCACGTACACTGCCACAAGTGAGAGGACTGAATTCCACGCACAACAGAAACAGAGTTACACTTCGTTGCTTTCATGCCTCTAAACGCTGTGACGTCAGCTTTCGGGAGGTGGATTAGTTTCACCTTCGGCAGTTTAGTGTTCAGTGGGGCAACCATCTCTGACGCCGGCTTGATCACCGACTTGGTGGGCAGTCGGAGGGTGTACAACGTTGCCTGGTGCTTGACACGACCCCCGACTCAATCACAGGCACTCTTGCCGTGTCCAGTTGCAGATAAAAGACACTTCGCTGACGTGTACTTGTTGCTTTGCAGCTCGTGTAGTTGGTACTTTTTCTTAAAGTGGCTTGCCGCACCATCACTTACGTAGGTCACATGAGCATACCCAAATTGAATTTCATGATTCTCCAAACCATTGTCATGTAAATTAATTTACAGACAATCTCATTCAATCGCAATTCCTTTTTGTTTTGGTTTTTGCAGCATCTTTTACCCTGTGTTTAACATTCTTTTTTTTTCTTTTTTTTTTTTTTTTTACGGCGGCGGATTTATAGGCGCTTACAGGCGGTGCAAGTTCAGGTTTTGCCGCGTCCTATCTCATATGTCAAGCTACCACCAAGGTAGGCTGATTTGTTTGCAAAGTCGCTCCGGTTGCTTCTTTTACGTCGCGTAGACGAAAACGCTACACGCCGGCTGTTGAAACAGGCACCGCGGAGCATGTTATAAGATGGCGCCTCTTGATCACTCCTGCCCATGGGCATTTTTGGGTCGGTTGTACGGATATGTATTAAAGATTTTCTCTTCAAAACTACCGTCCCCCGCTGTGCTGTCAAATTTGTCTTTTCCTGACCACTCCGTAATTTTTTACGCTTTTTAATAATAATGAAATTGCGAAGAACGGATATGTGCACGCCCCATTTATGTCAACCGCGTTAGCGCCAATCTCGCCATATTTTTCGTTATATAACTTCAAAGCCACACGAATATTGCATTATGTTTTTGCAGATTTTGTTAGTACATATTATAAACGTTCATTTCGGAGTGTTTAAGGAATATTAAAGATGGCCTTATTTTCAAATGATTTTCAAAATAATGCATATTTAGCTAAATGCCCCAGTGTGAGCAATTCTTGTAAATTTCTCTCACTAACCAGAACAGCAATATTTCACGCAAAGATTAACTGTATACCGGGAAACACACTGGCATAGTTTGAAGACCTTAACTTTAACAAATACGAAAAAAAAACATTAAAGGGGCGATGCAACGATTTTAGTATTTTGCGCAAATACCGCTTAGAACGGATCCCTGACGTTATGACCTATGAAACACGCGTTCGTTTTTCACCACACGCAATCGAAGTCTTAGAAAAAGATAAAGAAAAACGAGAAGAGTTCACCCCCTCAGCTCATAGCCAGAACAAGCGGCCACGTGATCTGGAGCCGATTATATGCTGCCAATGTTAATCATAGCCATGCGCTGGGGTTGGCAAGGCACAGGACACGCGCTGCGTTCCAGACATTGTTATGGTTTGGCTGTTGTGACCATTGCAGCGATTGGGCACAGGACACTACCCGAATGCTTCACGAGCTCTAAATTATCACGAGCCCACATCGAGTGCCCACGCAATGCTCGGGTCCAATCTATGAGCCGCATTTAAATATCGTCACTGGGCGGTACTGCTACCGCCGAGCTACGTCATCAGGTTTTGCGAAAGAGAGATTGAATGAAAACGCTCGGTTTTGTCCTCGAAATTACCGCGCAACAAAGGAGTTTCTTGGTCAGTGACGTTGCAAGCGAGTACCCTTGAGTTCCAATAGTTCCAGTAAGCTCGTGTAAAGAGAAAAACATTCTAATTGAATGTCGTTGCACCGCCCCTTTAACCCATAGCGTAATTGCGCAATGTGCCATGTTTGCGATTTTGTTTCTTAAAATAACCACCCTAAAATTCGGTGATCAATACATTTTGTCAATCCCTCTTGTGCCTAATTTGTATGTAAATATTTCGAGACTCGTAGCCAGAACAGTTTTTTAGGGGGGAAGCCGCCCGAAATACCAACATCGCGCGATACGCAAAACGCGCACGTGACTAAAAAGGTGCTCACAATTTCTTTCTTTTTTTTTGCAGGCAAGTTTTTTTAGGAACATGCATTGGTTTTATTTTTCTGGGCATTGAACCAGCAAAATAGTTTTCTTCCATCAAAATTAAAAATGGTCACCGGTTGTTCGGTGTTATCTGGAAACGCCCTAGAGAAATGTGCAAAAGCTTCTCTTCTCACGAAAATTGTGTTGCGCGAAGCGACGTCATTTCTCTGAAATAACTTGGCACAGGTATTTCAAACAAAATTAAAACGGTTGAGTCACAGAGGGGAGAATTATCGCAATTTTATAAGTCGATCGAAGTTTGACCTTTCGCCGTTTGACGTTTTTATGTAAAAATAATAAATTGCAGAAACTTACAAAATTCTAATCAGCTTTATAAAATAGCGTGAATATTTCGACGTCGGGGAATCGGACGGTTTTATGTGAGTCTGGTGATTCCGTTGTAGATGACCAATTTGGCCAGTGTGATATGACTGAAAACCTGGTGTCTTTAACCTACATACATCACACACTTATCAGGAAATGAAACATTGGTACGGTATGGCGTGATATGACATGATATCATTATGTGTGAAACATTCTAAGATGATTTAATGCAATTTTATATATTTCGTATTGTTTTGATATGGTTTGAAAGGGCACGGTATTGTACGCGCCTCAAGTGACGGTCGTCTTCCCCTTGCAGTCAGTTTGTGTTGTGTCAAATCGAATTGGTAATGTCAAGGTATAAAATAAAAGAAAAAACGATTCTACATATCGCTGCATTTGCAGGAACACATTTGGTATAAAGCATAACAATCTGGTGACGTCTATATTAAATATAGGTATTACTAGAAAGAGGCCCGCGGGAACTGAGTATTGCTTTGTTCCCCTGGTTCTTTATTTTCTGAGGGCAAATGAAAACATGTGTGGCAGGGTGGATAGTCTCGGTCCCGTTTGGCTATTTCAGTCACCACAAGTGAAGGTTGAGGGATCAAATAGCTTCAAAACGTGTTACAACCAGATATGAAGTTTTTCAATTCATAACCAAGTTAATAAACTGCAATACCACTTCGTTTAAACTGTGCTGGTTCTGAAAAAAAAAAGAAAAACTAAAATACGGAATTAACTCAGCGTTTTAAATGCCTTTCATACACACACGTAAGGGCCGTACAGTACATGCATGCACTATGCTTGCTTTACTCTCCCATATTTTGGTTGTAGACACTCCTAATGTAACCATATGTTCTCACTTAATTTCACTACATTTAAAAATTCAGTAAAACAAAAATATATTTGTAAACTTTACCAGCGGAGAATGCAGGTCAAAACAGAGGTTCGGGCGAGTTGCTTGCTCACGATGTACAGGGGGAACAGCGCACACACAAAACAGTTACCAAAGTCCACGAACACATAACAAAGACACACTTACGCAGCGCTGCGTAAATGTGTCTTCCATTCGTGCGCGTGGACTTAAGTAACTATCTTGCGGGTGCGCTGTTTCCCCTGTGCATCAGAATGCGGGTGTTTCCACAGAGGGGGGAGAAAGAAAAAATGGAAAGGAGGGTGATTTTAAATTTATTTTAATTCGTTTGTAGATGACAAGGTTTTACTAGGAAAATTATGCACGATAAAAGGGGCGCTTAGAATTATTGATTTAAAAATTATCTGTGCGAGTTAAGGACAAGGAATAAATTGGTAGAAGGAGATACTGCAAGAAAAAAAGAAGATTCTGTTCCAAATATAGTCGGATATTGAGCAGGTGATAAAAAAACACCGAGAAGAACCAAATCATGATCTCCTTTAGAACACTCACGTTAAAGAAGTGCGAAACCAAAGAGGGCTTGCAGAATCCATTGTCATGTTCTTTGTTGATCTTGGCGCGAACGCAGCCCTTTTGGCCTGCGAGGCTGCTCAGAGCGAGTTGGCAGTTTACCCACACATGACGGCGCGGCTTCACATGCTCACATACACTCTGCAAGACCGGCAAGAGAACCGACGAAAGTTTTAAAAATCAAACACAAGACGACAAACCCCCCCACATGAATACACACAAACACACAAAAACACACACACACACAATGAAACACAAAGCTAGAGGAAATTTGACAAATATTTCTCCAATCCTGAATCATTTCCCAAGTCAAAATAAAACCTTGATATTGATTTTGTTTGGTTCAAGATCCAATCCCGGACCTTGAGCTAAACCTAAACCTTGAACTTGCGGTTTTTCCGCGTCGAGCAAGCAAGTCATTCACGGAGTTTTTTTTTCTGTGTAACGGACAAAGACTAAAATTTTCGTGGGTAATTGGTGTCTTTATGTCAGCATTAAAGTTAAAGGGACGCGGGAAAGAGCAATTCATCCGACATTATATTTTACTCAGGCAGTAAAATATACAGTTGCACACCGAGATGACACAAAAGTCAAAATGCCTCCCCTATCTTGATCGCAGGAATACAAGTCGTCATAATATATAGTGCTATAAACCTTAACAAAAAAAACGTTCTAGCGATCATGAGTTGCCACTGTCAAGAATGATTACTGTTAACGCTCTATATTAACGCGTAAAAAAAGAACAAAACGTACGGCGAGTTCGGTCAGAAGGGCAGGGCTGTTCTCTTTGAGGTGGAGGGCCAACTTGGAGAGAAAGTGTTCAGACTCATCGTCCGAGAGTTTGTTTTCCTTGATCAGTTGCATTCCAAACGCCGCATGAGGGTTTCCTCCTGTAGCTGACAGCAGGTCCAGGAACAACCTCCTGAATTGCCCAAGGACAGATTCAATGACACAGGCACATGATAAATACGCCCATCTCAATGCAATACTGTTTAGGAGCAATCAGTTTAATAACACATATTAGTAAATGCTTTTGAACTACAGATACACAAGAACCACGACAAAACACGCAGGTAATAGAAGACTATTAATGGACGAAGAGCGCGTTTGTGCGGGTCGAGATTAAAATATGTGGTTGTGTCTTCATCGTCTTACATGTTACTCTTTCTCCAAATTTAATATAAGACAGTAGGATGAACTTGAAAAAATTTATTCTTCTGGATGAGAGCTCATTTCAGCGGCCAAAGTTTCACAAACAAGCTCACATGCCACGCTGTCGGCGGCCTCTCTGAGGCCTAGAAGTTCTTTATGAAAATTCACAGTTTATTCCTAACATATTCCATCTCACGTGGACATATACAAGACCAAAGTATCCATCCCCAAATGGTTGGTTTTAATTGGTCCTTCAGCAGCGCGTGCGTTTGTACAGCCGGGCCACGTTTAAACGAAAAGAGCTTGCTCACACAGACTTACTGTGTTGTTTGTTCGGACGATACGTATTATAGACGCTCGTATGACTGCATTGAAATTTTGAGCCCCACTCTTCATGGGTTACCCCTTAGAGGAAGCAATTTTAGGAAAGACAGAGCTTCGATTAAGAAACTAAGTTTTTCAGGAAGACCCAAAAGAACATGAACCGATCCATCGGGTGGTCGTATATCTTACGCTTTATGTTATATTTTTTCCCCGAGTCTTCTGGAGTCTTTATACGAAATGAGCGCACCTAACGTCGCTCTTGCTTGCTTCGGGTGCGTTGGCCACGGTTTGGTCATACATCTGTGCGACATCTTCAAAGGGCATGGCGGCAAAGGAGCTGTGCAAGGCCAAGAAGTTGTTTCCGATTTCCTTGCTGTCGACGTCTCTGATGTCGCCATCTCCGTACTCGATCGAAACAAGGTAGTTGAGAGCAGCGATGAACTTGAAACGAAACAAACGGGAATGATTATACACATGCTTTCTCTCTATAGATGTCATAACTCGCAGCTCTTTTGCGGGCCAGTCCTGGCCGCCCGCGTGATTAAAGAAAGCACGTTACATGGATGGTCACGTGGATGACGGCACAAGGAAGATCGCGCGATCCGCATCAGCTTTAGTCTCCGAGAGCTTAATGAACGCAGGGTGTAACTTCTTATGGTCACTGATCCTGCCTCGTGGTTGGTTTCTCGGCTTTGTTATCAGAAAATATTGCAATCTCATTGGCTGCAACGCGACACTAGGGTGTTCAGATCTCTCCACGCCCCGCGTCTCTAAAGCTGTTGCTGACCGCATGTAGGAAGCCGTAGCGGGGTATTTCCTTCGCCATTTAATGAATGTCAACGCAGGACACGGAGTGGATAGGAGTTCTAAGTCAGTTTTGTGTTCAATATGTGACCCGCGCTGGCCTTCAGTAGATGACGTCAAATTTTAGCCCTACGGATATAAGAGGGGGTTGACGGCGTTCAAGTTTAGGTAGGAACAGGGCCGAGGCCGAACTCGTAGGGCCTCATTTCTTCAGAAAGCCACCCTATGCGGGATATGTATGCTCCAAGGATTGACTGATTCAGTCGACTGCCCAGAAGTTAGAACACACTGCGGCAGTCGAAGAGCAGTTAATCGATTGCTATCCTGAAAGCTGGAATGGATCTGTTTCTCAAAGCTGCCTACAAGGGACGCTGCACAGCTGCGTCTGCATACATCTCGCCATCTATAAGATTGAAGATGGATCATTCGAGCCGCTTCCTTTTTGTACACTCTTCCAAAGAGGTCTGGAAGACACTAACTTTTCAATACATAACTCATCACATGTGCTCGAAAAAAAAAATAGGCGTGGCTTTTAGATACTCGCGATAGTCTAGGCAAAGTAACATTTTTTTTTCCGCCACGAGCCTGATCTTTTATTCGTAAACTGGTCGAATTGGCTCGAGGTATTTTGATCTTCACTTAGACCCGGATCCAGAATCGAATATCCTACTTGTGACCTCTTTTTCCTCCGGACTATTCTGTTGTGAGTTACATAACTCTGTAGAAAGAACAAGCTTCAAAGACCTAAGTGATACGCGAAGGAGATTACGAAGCAAAGAGAATATTCTAAAATTCCTGACCTGCCGTTTTGAGACTACATTCTGTAAATCCTTTAGGATGGTTTTTCATTAAGTCCAGTCGCAGCCACGATTTGATAGAGCCAATCAAACAGCACCAATCAAGCACAGAAAAAAAATATTACGGCGCATTTACTCTGCGTGATGGGTTAGCCGGTGATAGAAAGCAGACAAAAACGACGAGTGTCGTGACGTCACACTTTTGACATGGTGGTATTAGCTCTATCGTTTCATATGCGTAGCGCAAGTTCATCTTCTCCTTTTGCCGGGGTTGTGGTGACGTCAGAACGCCGAGCTCTGATTGGCCCTGAATGAAGGATAGTGGGTAGACCTCAAGGCAGCTTACTTTTAGGTCAACTCACAATCCTTGAATCAGAGCCAATCAGAGCAGGGCGTCTTCCCAACGTCACCGCAACTCTTGCGCAAGAAGCACTGACGACTTGTTCTCCCCATAGCGTTGTCTGCGGTCGGACCTGTTGTGGAACGGAGTATGCAGAGAGCAAGTTCGTCTGCTTCTTTTGCACGGGCTGTGGTGACTTCAAAACTACGAGCTTTGATTGGCTTCGATTGAAGGACAGTGGGTAGACCTCAAGGCAGCTTCTTTCGACGTCTACCCACTATCCTTCCCATCAGAGCCAATCAGAGCTCGCCTTCTTTCTGACGTCACCACAACCCCTGCGAAAGAAACAGAGGAACTTGCCCTCCGTATAGCAATTCGTGGAAGTGCGGCGTTTTTAAACAGAAGCGTCTGGTTTTTGCTAGGTAGTCATATATCCAAAGCTTGGAACCTACCCTGTCCTTGTCTGCGGTAAATTCGTAATCGGCCACGAAGCGGTTGACCTCCTTGAGTTCTTCGAGGCTGTCTGCGCCACCAGACTCTGGGAAGGACAGCCAGAGGTGGTCCACTTTTTCGATGTCCTCCGGTAGCCGAACGTCGGTGGTGGCACCGCGAACCTCTTCTAATTCCAGGGTACGACTGCGCGAATGAATGACGCTGGTAGGACGTCTGATATCAACCGATTCATCGGTAAAGCTGTTCTGGTTTTGAGCTTCAAAAATTCAGGTCACTGAGTGGCGAATAGAGGTGTGTACGGACGACGCACCTTTCTTGCGCGAAGTGGTGCTCCAAAAATGGAGGCACTCGCTTCCGCATTTCACACAATTCCTAATTTTTCTTTAATTGAAAATGTTAATAAACGCGACGTAGAACCACACGTACCAGTAACAGGCAGTGTTGGCGGTAATGCGTTACAGTAGCGGCGCTGCAGGTAACGGGTAACTTTTTTCGGTAACGTAATAATGTGTTCATTACTTCTTCAAAACAGTGACGGGTAACGTATCGACGTTAGTTATTTCAAGTGATGTGTGGCGTAGTTATGTACGTTACTCGTTACTTCTTCTTTCAAAGACTTAAAGAATTACACTTCAATTTGTTCGGGTTTTTAGGTACCGAGCCATGGAAAGTTTTGAGCTTTGGTGTTTTTCTTCGTGTTTTTTTCGTGGCGCCTAAAAACACGAAAACAATTCAAGTGTACTTTTCAAAGTTTTTGGAAGAAGTAACGAGGTGAAACGGTAAAAAAGATACAGTAATTATGATCAGTTTCCGTATGAAGATGATAGTTCTTGAAATATGGCGCTTATACATTCCTGTACCGAGAAAACAGTAATACGTGTTATTAAAAATAAAAAAAAGTAACTCAGAAGTAACGTGCGTTACTTTTGATCGGTAACGGTCACGCGTTCCTTTTATATTGAGGTAACGTAGTTCGGTTACGCGTTACTTTTATTTGGAAGTAACGAGTAAGGTATTTCGTTACCTGTTTTCGGTAACCCCTAGAGCACTGATAATAGGTTATTACAGAATAATGCGATTAACATAGCACAGTGGTTCAAAAATGGGGGTCCGCGGACCCTTTGGGGTCCCCGGAGGCATTCTAGGGGTCCGCAAGCCCTGCCTCATCAGTCAAGCCCGGCAATAGAAACTCCTTTTTTTTTTTGAGATGGAGAAGAAACGTTTTAATTTTTTTTGTGTGTGTTTTCTAGTGCGTATGTCCATGAGAGAAGTCTACGTCACACTAGCATCTAGTTAAATTAATTTATTAAGTTCTAATCATAATTAGCGTATAGCCTTCCCTTCACCTCCCCACGAACGGGGTCATCCATCATCTCCGCCGATCCCGAAGGGGTCCGCGAAACGTCAGTGGTTGAAAACCACTAACATAGCAGATAGGCACGGTACTTAGGGGAGGTGCCGATGAGCAGACTATGTTACGTAAGGTTTACAGCACTGTTCTTTCAGAGGAAAAAAACAAGAACGATATTTTAAAACAACTAAATATTTCAGCGCCCCTAGGTGGTTCCTCAGAAAGCGCAATCCGTGATTCGACTCCCCCTATCCATCTACCACAACCACCTCGGCTAATAACCTAGTTAAAAAAAAAAAAATTAAAAAAGTTATATAACTTCGGTTAATAACCAAGTTTCGGCGTTTCGGCTGGACTCCGGCCGAAAGTGGGCACGGCAGCTCTGTCAAGAACATGCGGCTAAATCCGCTTCTACTCTTCATTCAGTTTGTGCTGCTGCGGCCGAAGTCTTTTTCCGGCCCGGTGGTTTCTGCTGATTCGGTGGCTGCTCCGATCTTCGCACCGTCATCATCCAACGCCGTCCCACATCTACACCTGGTGGTCATCGCAGCCAGTGCACCGACGTCATCAACATCGACGGAACCAGCAGCTATAAAGCCGAAGACGGACCAACAACCTACCAGTGGGCACGGCAGCTCTGTCAAGAACATGCGGCTCAACCCGCTTCTATTCTTTATGCAGTTTGTGCTGCTGCGGCCGAAGTCTTTTTCCGGCCCGGTGGTTTCTGCTGATTGGGTGGCTGCTCCGATCTTTGCACCGTCATCATCCAACGCCGTCCCACATCTACACCTGGTGGTCATCGCAGCCAGTGCACCGACGTCATCGACATCGACAGAACCAGCAGCTATAAAGCCGAAGACGGACCAACGACCTACCAGTGGGCACGGCAGCTCTGTGAAGAACATGCAGGCAAACCAACGAGCTTGAGTCTTACCTTAGAGCGGTAAACCGAAACCCACTGCCTGCAGCGGAAATGGCATCCCCCCGGTTGCCGCCATCTTGCCTGTTTGCCACATTAGTGATCACGTGACGTTACGATGGCTGCGCCCAGAGGTGGGCCAGATCAGATTGGTCAGATCACGGTCATGAGACGGGCACTCTGGGGCTACGTTCCATTCGTACTCGAATGGATCCGACTTTTTCCGGCGAATCAGGTCACTTGACGAGACAGATGCAGCAATGCTGGACGCGGGTACGTTTTCGAATGCAACGGGTACGAGACCTTCACCCTGGTGTGAAATAAAGTCGCGTTCGATTTACTTCCACATCCTTCACCGGTGCAGAAAAGTGTATGGCAGTTTACTTCCGGTGAAGGTCTCGTACCCGTTAAGTTCGAGAACCTACCCGCGTCCAGCACTGCTGTATCTGTCTCGTCACGCGACTTGATCCGCCGGAACAGCGGACCCATTCGAGTAAGATTGGAAAGCAGCCCCAGAGTGCCCGACTGCTGACCGTGATCTGGCCAATCTGATCTGGCGGATCTGGCCCACCTCTGGGCGCAGCCATCTTAACGTCACGTGATCACTAATGTGGCAAACAAGCAAGATGGCAGCAACCAGGGGTGTGCCATTTTTGGCCGCTGGTTTACCGCTCTAAGTTTACTCAAGCTCGTTGAGCTAAACCCGCTTCTATTCTTCATGCAGGTTGGTTGCTCGTACTCCTTGTACAAAAGCGACGAACTTTGTTTAGTTGTGCTGCCGTGCCCCACTACTGTTTTCTCGTGCTTTGTTGATACCGTTGCTCTGCTCTTGCAATTAAGCGGTGACATTGAAAGTAATCCAGGTCCTGCAGTTGAAGAAACGTTGTCTCAATTTTGGAAAACCAGTCCCAAAAGGCTAAGGAACTTGCCGCTATAAATGAAAATCAAAAAGGAGCGGAAGAAAAATTCACGGAAATTAACCAGAAGTTAGGGAGCTTCGAAGCTAAGTTGTCGGCCCTAGAAGCGACAGTAAAACATTTTTCTGACAATGAAGAACAGATCGTATCAATGGAAAGTGTAAAGGCTGATTTGGTAGACAAGATTAACGATCTCGAAAATAGGAGTCGCCGAAATAATCTTGTAATCTTTGGCGTGCCTGAGACCGATGACGAGGCAGCTGAATCACTTCATGGCACCGTAGTGAATCGACTGTTTTGTGATACGCTTGGTTTACCAGCTGTAACCACAGAGAGAGTGCACCGCCTCGGGCGTCGAACAGATGGTAAAACTAGACCAGTCGTGGTGAAGTTTTTAAATTTTTCAGAGAAGATGTCAGTTTTGAGAAACTGCCCGAAACTGAAGGGATCGACGACCTCTATATCAGAAGGCTCTTCTTTACGTGTTCGAAATATTATTCTCTGGGACAGCGCTATCGAAAATCGTAAGAAAGGCGATAAAGTCACTCTAATCTACAACAAGCTAAAAATAAATAATACACCCTACATCTGGGACGCCGAAAAACAGACACGAGTAGCACTGAGTCAGCCAAAACCCTCGCGACAAATATGACAGTCCAGGCGCAATGCCACTGATTCGATTAGATTCTTAAATTTGAATGCGAGGAGCATAATGAAAAAAGTTGTTGATATAGAACACGTGTTACTAACGCGCAAACCGCACATCAAAGTCGTCACAGAAACCTGGTTACATGAAGAAGTATCTGATTCTGAGGTTATCCCCCAGACTATAAAGTAGTACGAAAAGACAGACACACGCGCGGTGGGAGCGTAGCCATTATTCCTACAAAACGTTTGCACTATAACCGAATGCCAAATATTGATGGCGTAGAAAGTTTATGGGTTCGTGTGAACATTTTTTCTACATCCCTTATCATCGGTGCTTTCTATAGACCACCTAGCAGCGGAAATGTTTTCGAAAAAATAAAAGACTATCTTTCAGAGAATGTACACGCGAACTCCAGAGTTATTTTTGCTGGCGATTTTAATCTACCAGACATTGACTGGGAGAACAGTTGGCCTTCGTTCCCGATATCACAAACACTATTAGACCTATCTTTTTGTCATAATCTAAATCAAATTGTACGCTCCCCCACAAGACTTTTTGAAGGAAAAAGCTCGATACTGGATTTGATATTTCTTTCCCAGAACTTGCTTGAACGAATACAGTGCATTGAAGTAGTGGAAGGCATTTCAGACCATCGGATGGTATTACTTACTTTTTCTTTAATGAATGAAACACGCAACACAGAAAGACGTAACGAATACTTAGACTTCTCTAAAGCTGATGACGTTGCTATTATTGACTCGTTAGCCTTCTGTTTTAGCGATTTTCTTCGTGCTTACGAAGTGCCTGAGTACGACGTGAACTTTTTCTGGAACTCCTTCGAAAATGTCGTTCTCGACTGCATCAACAAATTCATACCAAAAAGAGTAAGGATTGCCAGCAAAAAAATATCCGTGGATTAAGAGGGAAATTATCCAAAAGCGCCGTAAACTCCGTCGACTCCGTAAGCGATCGAAAGATGGAAGCGACGTGAAGCGGTTGGACCATGAAGTGAAGGAAAACGTTAAAGAGGCGAAACATCGCCTCTTTGATGTGACCTTATCTTCTTTTCTCCTGTCTTCGCCTGAGAATTTCGGGAGGTTTATATCGCCCTCAAAGTCTAAGGTAAACGAGTTACATATTGATAACGACATTGTGGACGACTCTAAGGGCATTGCTGATACTCTCAATAACTACTTCACGTCGGTCTTCAGCCTTGACAACAATCGAGGGTCGGTCTTGGCGGCTGCGCCGGGAAACAGTTCACATAGTAAAAATGCTTTGCCGAATATAACAATTTCTAATGAGGGTATAGTGAATGATCTACTGAATGTTGACATTAAAAAGGCA